ATGAGACACAGGATTTCTGGACAGTCCTGAAGTGCTGCTGGACGAAGTCAGAAAGAGCTCACAGTGCCAGCATCAATACCTAGCTTGTAAGAAACTTGTGCCAGCAGAGAATCAGATACTTGCAGGTAGAGAGCTGAACCTCTGGGCTGTAACTTGGGATGTGGTCCCTCATTGACCATATCAGAGGGGAAACTGAGTAGGTAGTAAACAGAAATGCTTTCTTCCTCCTCCTTTATTTCCTTCACTGAAGTACTGATTTGGTCTCACTCTTTGCCTCTGTTTTGGTTACATCTTCTATGTAACCATCTAACTCATATTCCTAAGATCTTCTGTTTTCTTTTAAGCTGGCGCCGTGTAAGCAGGTGGGAGGTCACAATGGGGACTAGTGTCGCAGTCCTTATCTTTGCCATGGCCTAAGGGTCATGAAATGGCAGGCTGCAGGGATTGCTAAAATCAAATCCTTGAAACTGAAAAAAGCAAAAGGCCTGTAAAATGCTAGATGCAAACGCTGTGCAGCGCAGCTGCTTGCAAATGAGGCTGCTTTGTGTTTTCTGTCCCGAGAGAGCAGTACTGAAAGCTCTATGCCCTGACAGGGACCTGTCTTCTACAGTTTCTTTGGGTGGCACTCCAGTTCTTTCAAAAAGAGAAGCAAGTGAGGAAGAGTAAGAGGTGTAAGTCAGTGAGATATGCAGGAGCCTGGGATGTGTGGGGAACATTCAGGGACTAGAGAAGACCTGCATAGAAGCATTACTGACTGAATGTGATGTGGAGAAGAAAATGAGCAGCAAGGACAATTCAGTGTCTTTTCTGAACTGTAGCCTAATAAGGCAATCCTTCCATCTTCGTTCTCAAAATACATTTCTGCTTGTTTTCCTATCTATCTGGCTCTTTTTACCAAGAATGCATCTTCCCATTTTATGCAGTCAGCTTCTATGCTTTCTTTTTTACCCATGGATGGGTGCAAATACCAGCCTCTTAAAATTAATCTTGGGTAAATTTTTTCACGAGGAGAGAGAGAGAGAGATAGATAAGCCTCATAAAGCTACTCTGTCCGGTTCAGGCCATTCCCTTCCTGCCTTGGGGTTTTTTTTTATAAAAATAAAACTATCTGAAAAGAGAGCTAAAACTTTCAGATGTGCTCGTTTTTCCTATCGCTTATGAAGCAATACTGTGTGGGGTCACTAATAAAATCTTAATAAGAGTTACCATAAAATTGCGAGTAGTAGTGTTGCTATAGTCAGCACTATAATTGAAATGTATTTGTGTCACTAGTTTGTGAATTAATGTTCTGGCTGGGTGCTAGCGTGCAATGGATGGCCTCGTCAGTACAAGCCCTCACTTGAGCTAGAACACGTGCATTAGCTTTTCCAAAATAAAAATGCTAAAAAATAACTGGAAAAGTCAACATTTTTTTTCTCCATATAGCCATATTCCTGAAGATGTCTGCATTAAAGTGGGTATTTGGAGCCTCCTACTTTTAATTTTTTTGAGACTCTCAGGAAAGAAAAGCATGCTGTAAAGTTAGATTTTGTTTCAATTCCAGCTGCGGTCAGTTTAGCTGCAGGTTGTGATAGGGACTAGAGTCTGGTGCTATGATCCATGGGGATAAAATAAAAATATCTAAATAAAGTTGTAGTTCAAACTGAAATAAATCTAAGTGTAATTCCACATTTATTAAAAAAAAAAAAAAAGATTGAGAGAAATTGGGATAGTGTAAGAATTTTTGTCCAATACAGAAATTTCAGAGTTAAGAAAAAAGATGCTTAATTTTCTTTCAGAAATTAATTTCCTTAATTTCCTTTCCTGATTTGAATATTTATAAATATTATGTGGCAACAGTGAGGAAGGATATGTGTGATACTTAATGTCAAACTATGGGAGAAATCTGGATAAAATCAGGAGACTGGAAGTTATGAAATCATGGAGATTTTAAAGGTTTAGCAGATAAGTTTTCTGATCAAACTGGGTGTGGGCTGGAGGGAGAGGTGTCAGTAACATACTGTTGTGCTCTAGCAGTGCCTTGCAAACCGGAGCTGCAGTAATCATTGCAGCAAGACTTAGTTTGTTGTAGGAAGAAAAATGTCTTAAGAACATGGTCTTCAGTGTGCTTATCTGTGTTTGACATTTCTTTAAAAACAGAATATATTCAAGGAACCTTGTATTAAAATACATTCAAGCTTTGTCATCTTTAAAAGGTAACATAATTCTAAAACGACAAATAAATGCTTGTGACAGATATCTTAGTGTGTTGCAACTCGTGTCATTAAAGGAATACTTTGATATGTATTGAGATATTGAGATGTTCAGAGGTTAATGAAATATATTTTTATGGAACTACCCAGCTGCTGTAAAAGAAAATATGCTGAAGAAGTTACCAGGAAGTTGTATCTGATGTAAGTTAATTAGTAATTCTTTATAGAGAAGGATGCTGTAAAGCAAGCTCAAAATCCATGGTCCTTGACTTGTTAATGAAGAAAGAGTAGCAGAAAGGAAAGTATGTTCTGCTACTAACAAAGCCCAGAAGAAATTGTCGGTTACCACAGTCGGCTTCAGGATGTGCAGTGGTAAAGTCTGGCTTCTCATTCTGTTGATGGCCGGTGATTCGCTGTGTCAGCAAGCTTCAGAACGTAAGGAACGGTTGCTTTTTTGCTTTATAGCTTGTCAGGGTAGTGGTGTTTCTATCAAATTCCTGGCTTACCTATGGTATTACAATACTAATGATGTCGCTTCTGATAAAATTCTCCTTGTGGCTTAGGTAGAATTTATTTTTAAATATGGAAAACCAACAAAGATGTTAAGACCTTGGTGTGATAACTGCTTACGTATGTTTGCTGTTATGATGTGTTTCATAGTTCTTGAGTTCTCTACTGCCAAGACTGTGGTGATATTCTGTAGAGACGTAGGTATACAAGGCAAAAATGCTTGCGCTTTCACCTGTTATTCTGTACTTCTGTGCAATAACAAGATTATAGCAATATGAATTACAATAAATATTACTAGGTTTTCTGGTATTTTCAGGCCATTTTGAGTCAACCTGTCAATGTCAAATAGCGTATGTTTTAAATGAGCAAGATGTTTGGGCTCATTTTTTCAGTAGGAAGAAATACTCAGTGTATGAAAACAAATTATACTTATGATAGAAACTATTTTTAGAAATATTTTTGAAGATGAACAGGGAGAATACTGTCAGTAGTTAAGAGCACGGCAATGTGCATAGAAAAAAGATTATTTAAAATAAGGAGTTAAGGTATACGGAAATGTCTCTGACTTAGTATGTATAGTATTGGGCAGGATTTTTTTTAATGGGAAGACTTTGTAGTAGCTTGGTTTTTTATTTTTATTTTTTAATCACCACTGTTCTTTAACTGGTAGCTACCAGGTACTGATAATTAGGTTATTTTCTACTCCCTCAGTATTTTTTGTAACAGCACTAAAAGAATTGTAATGCAACCACTGGTCATACAGTTAACTGAAAAACATTATTGTTTATCTCCTGCCTAATATGATGCTAAATACTACAGTTTTTTTTTCAATGTTCTGCACTTTATGGTTGTAAAGTATGATCCACATTTACATTGTGTTGGAAAATGCTCCCGTGCTGATGCCCTCTTGAGAGAAAGGGATATGATGTATGTAACTGAATTTGTATAAACGGAAGCCTTGATCACTGTGTAATGGTAATTTCACATGGAGTTAGAGTAGCTACAAATATATACATCTAGATTTATCTCTGATTTACAATAAATATTGGATTAGATTGTATTGAGACTTGGGTGGGGAGAAGAAGGCTTTTGCAGTTGAAATAAAGACTGCCTATAGCATAATTTCTCTAGCTCAATAATGCATTGGTCATGAATTTTCTAATTCAGCTGTTCATGGTGTAGAATCCCTGCTTAGAATAACAGTGCAGTAATGGTCCTAACCATGCTCTGATACAGCTTTCTTCTTGCCTGTTACCTGGCTAGGTTCAGGATGATCTGCTCAGAGATTGCTTCCAGTTCAGACCTTATGGCGCTGTTCTAAAGGCATATCTTCTTCTTCTGAAAAGCTTATCCAAAATAGCATTCAGCTGTATGGCTTGTTTTGTTTTTTGAGTATCATAATAGTGTTTGGCCTGCAATGTACGTTGTTGTAGTTTTTATTCTCTCTTTGAATTTATCTGGCAGTGTCTTGCAAGTGCTTATTCAGTTGCACATTATATGTCCGGATTTCAGGTACATCTGCCTAAATCATAGGCTTTACAGATTTTACACCAGAGTGTCTGGTCAGCTCGTAGCCTGCTGATACGAATGATGACTACCGCGTTTAGTCAGAGTCCTACATAGAAAAGAAACGGGTAGCACGGAATATAGGGTTTGAGTGTCAGACACGGTGAGTTCTGATGTCTGATTAAGATTGCTGATGCGGAAGTTATTTTTAGACTCCGAAGTACTGTAAGCACTCAACTTCTAGAACGTAATTTACAGCACACAGTGCTTGAGCAGTAAAAGAGGTGGGGGAGAACCCGTGTTAATGCAGAACAGATCCTTTTGTGTGCCAGCTAAGGAATAATCCCGGTGCAAAACACACAAAAAGTTTTTTTATGAGGATTAAGTATGGAGAGTGAGACGCTCGATGGGTTTTCGGGTTTCATGATTTCTAGTCTTTGCTAACAATCCAGAGATTATATATAGGACAGTTCAGATATAGCCACACTTGAATATTATGCTATATTATGATAGAAATCATAATAATATGAGCTATACAGTGTACTGGCTAATAAAGGACAAATGGAAGATGGCTGCAAGTTCTGAGTAAAGTAATTTCAGTGGGTAAATCTTCATTCCTCAAATCATTTCAAAATTATGAAAGTACAAGTCATTGGAAAGTAAGATTTAGTATCATTTACAAAGTCCTTCATATGAAGCTTGAATTTCTGCTGTAGTTAGAAATACAGCCCACTAACAATATATTACTGTATAACTGCATTAAATAAATGTTTGTGTTGTTTTAATTTACAGCGGACTGCACAGCAGTTGATGACTTTCAGGCCTGTCTGGGTAATACAGACAACTTCTGTCCAACTAATATTTCTTGTCAATGTAAAGATGAAAAACCTTTTTGCAGGTAAGGGTTGTTTTAAATATATGCTATGTAAATACAGATCATCAAATACATTATTAATGATGAACTAAAATTAGACCCTGTAATGTGATCCATGAGAGTGGATGTTGATCTTCATTCACAGTCTGCATAAGCTCATAAATCTGCTACCGAACATCAGATTAAGGATCTGAGTGAGCATTTTCCTTATTAGAACGTATGTAGGTCGTCAAATTCATAGTTTAGATTACATATAATTATTGTAATCCTTAGTTTTGACATGCTCGTTATTGTCTCAGGTGTTTTACTTATAAATTGAAATAAGCAGTATAATGTCAATGCTTTTTTTCCAGTTTGATCCAAATTTTGATCCACATGAGTTTAAAAATCATTTAGATATATAAACTCCCTGTTATTCATTATGTATTTGCTTATTTTCTTTAAAAACTATCTGGTCATTTGAGTGGAAAACATTGTTCCCTTATCTAGTATATATATTTTTTTTACGTAGAGTTAGACCCTTTGACTTATTGTAGCAGGAAGTCAACAAGAAAATACCAGTGCAGAAGTTCATCTGATTACCTGACTGATTCAGGGAAATAATTTCTCTATGACCCTGTTACGGCATTCTGTTGTTTATGCAAATGCAGCTGAGCTACAGTTGCAGCCAGTGTACCAGATCAGCTAAATGAGTATGCCAATATCCAGCTGTCTGAATGTTAGATAGTGCAATTCCGGACTAAGAGAAAATGCTACATTCCTGAAGCTATACATACGATAGAAAATATATGTCCATCTCAATATAAATACTGCACATGAAGTAAGAGAAGTATTTTCAGTACTGGCGATCCAATTCAAACTTCCAGAAAAGGTTACTCAAATCCAGAGCGTTTGCATCAGCAAATGATTCAAAATTCTCTTCAAAAGAACCTTTCCATCATGACAACGGCTAGCGGCGTTCCGTTCTAGGGTTATCCTTTCTATTAGCAGTGCAAGTGGTGCTTTGGGAGGAAAAAAAAAAAGCCCTGAATTAATGACAGTAATTAAATTTTAAAGAAAAAGCAGCATTCTCATCCCGTTATCTTTTTTCACTCTTAAAAGCAGAGGAGGCATATTCTGTGAATCCGCTATGGGTTCTGTTACTGCTTTTTCACTGGAGGTACATCAATATCATAGTGATAGGTAACAGTGTGATATTTCAATTATATCTTCATAGCCTGTTCTGGAATTATGCAAGCTTTGTCGTATTTACAGCTGACCAAAAATCTTTGGCCTGGATCATGCAGGGACTAGGATAATATACCCTGTTTTCAGTAAAGTTTATTATCTTGACTCACTGCCCTGCTAACTTAGATACATAGTTCTTGGTTGGCCCATGGCAAGTGGCACGGCAGAGCGCATATGCCACCAAATCTAGAATCAGATGTGTAGAAATTCTCTCAGATAAATAATATTTTCAGATAAATAGTAAAAATATTTAAACTTTTGACCCCTCTAGCATTCAATAAATAGTTATGGAGCAAAATATTTTCATTTTTTGCTATTACTTATTTTTAAATTATGATACTCTTGCTAATAATTAATGTTTTTATTCACAGATGTAATTACTACAGAGTGGGCTGGAGGGAATATTGGTACATGGGTCCCAAATGCAATCAACTTTGGAACACGCTGGATTTGATTTTAGTAACTGTTCTTCCTGCAGTGGCATTGTCTTTCGTAGTTGGTGTAATATGTCAGTGTGTGCACTACTGTAAAGGTAAAAAAGCCAGGTGAGTTATTCTGGACACAGTTAAAAGTGCTTTTTACAATCAAAACGGAAGTAAAGCAAAAAAAAAAAAGTCTGATATTCTGAATAATTTTTAACCTCGGGACATATATTTAAATCAACAAGCTTCCCATATAGCAGGCTCTGCCAAATAATTCTTTACACAGTAGAGAGGTAAATCAGGGCATCTTAGCTAAGCACTTTACAGTTATTCAGCTCTTTACCATTGCATACAGAACTTCACACAGAATAGGTTATTGTTTCTCTTCTTTGGGACTAACTAACCAGGCAGACTTTAAAAATGAACATGTCCTTTAATTGGCTTATTATTTTAACTGAAGGCTACCAAATCTGTCTCGCTGATTTATTTGCTATTGAGCGTTGGCTGCGTTTCCACTAGTTAAAAAAACTGGAATAAGACCAGTAAACACTGGCAAGAGTCCTGCAGATTAAAGACTATTTCTCCCATTCTGTGATCCTAGGCACTGGCAGTTTGAGCTGCTGTTTGCTTTCAGCACTTTGTCTTTTTTTCCACTGATATCTGTCCCAAGTATGCAGAGAATGTGTTGTCTTCTTTCATTGAGCCCTGTTAGTGTGTACTATTGGTACTTCCTCTGTCATGGAAGAACTGCAGTAACGTGTAGCTCTCACATACTCATTGTCACGGTACGTTTAAACATATGATATGGCTGTTGAACAAATTTGCAGTACAAAAAGAATCATGAAGACCCTCAAAAGTATTCTTAATGCTGTAAATTCACATTGAGTTCTTCCCTCTAGCAGGAAACGGACACATCTTCCATACCACGAGTCACGGCATAACCCTGCATATACTGCTGAACTCGATGGTAACGTGGGACATGTTTCTCAGCAGCTGCCAAGGGTAAGAGAGATGTTGTTATGTGGTGCACATTGCATGCTCCTAATTCCAGTGGAAGTCGAACATGATTTTGTGACTCAACAAAATGCTGCAGAAATAGCACAGAAATGTTGGCTAGTAAACTAAAGATAATCTGAGTTTAAAATCTTTATTTTATGTACTCAGTACTTGGTTTCCAAGATCATCTCAGTGCATGTGAGAAGGTGCAATTCTTCATCAAGGATCAAGTGAATCTAGTTTGTATAGGAGAAGACAAAGAACTAAGGATTGTTTAAAAAGGATGTCCTAATAAATATTACCTCTGAGGCCAGTTAAAAAATCAGCATTAAAAAGAAAAGTAATTTGTATATGAGAACAAGCCACATGTTCCAGCTGCTTCATTCATGTCCTCGCTGTGCTCTTCTGGTTGACTGGTGCTAGTTCCAGCCAGATCAGCTCCATGAACTAGGTCATGTTGTGGTAAGACCAGTACTAGTGCCAGGGCAAGGAAAGGGGCAGGGGAACATAGCTCCAGGGGAAGAGTTTGGGGCTGTCCAGACTTTAGCCAGTATAAGCTGCTGAAGAGCCACACCTACATTTCATTTGACTGTTAACTAGCTATACCCCACCAGAAGAAAGATTGGCCATTTTGCTTTAAGCTTTTTTTCTTGAATGAGGCTTATCAGTAAAGGTCTCAGAGTGATTTGGGTTGCGTTCATGAATGATCTGGTAAAGGGGCTGCTAGTAAGGTGGCACATTTTGCTGATGATACCATAGTACTCAGAAGAGTCAAAAATAAGCCTTACTGTGAAGAAATACAGAAGGAGTTGCCGATAGTGATTGACTGACAAGAAAATGACAAATGAAATTATTCTCAATAAATAAAACAGCTTTAATTTTGCATATGTGGTAAGTATCTCTAAATGAGAAATTAGAGCTCAAGAGAGGTATCTTTTGTAGAGTTTTCTGAAGATGTTTGTTTTGCTGCTCACATGTAGTTAAAAAGACAGAAGCTGCTAAATATTTTAAGGAGAAAAAAAAAAACAACGTTACGATGCCAGTGTACAAATCTTACCTATGCCCACGTTTTGACTACTGCATGTAATTTTGAGCCCCCATCTCCACAGGGGATGTAGTACATCTTGAGGTTCAGAGACATCAGTATTGACTTCTGCATGAGAGCAGACTGCATAAGAAATAACTGTTCCTTCTTTTTAACGCAAGAACTGGGCAATGTCAAATGAAATCAGGCAAAAGTTTTAAACAGAGAGAAGTACTTTTTAGTAAAGTACGGAATCCAGCAAGATGTTGTGATGGTATAAATTGATTAGAAAAATTAGACATATATTCTGAGGGATACTCAGACTGGGTGTATGCTTTGAGGTAGATAATTTCCTGATTGTCCCCACTTACTGTGCTGTGGTTCACATCTCAGAGCAGCCTGGGACTGCGCAAACTGATTTCCTTCAGATTAGACAAACTAGGAGACATCCTTTAACCTGTAATGAACGTTCAGTGCCCAGGCCAAACTAGACTAATCCAAAGCAAACCCTTCTGAAGTGCATAACGTTAATGCGGGGTCCCACTTGTATGGGTCCACTTTGTTTGCTATTGCAAACATAGCCACAGACTCCACTCCAGCTCATTCAATCAATGCCTTAGATGCAGCTGGCTGGAAGTTTTGCTGATGTAGTTTTTGCTGAAGTAGTACTTCAAATGTTTACCCTGTGTTCATATTTTCTGCTTATGGTTCCACAGCTGGCCATTCTAAGTATGTTAGGTGACCTGAATCAGTGAGTCCCTTCCTATATTTTTATGTACAGAAGTAGATTTTGCAAATACAAGATGCTTGCAAGAGTACAGGTAAAAAGGCCTAGTAAAGATTTGATCTATGTAGTCTACTTCAGAGACAACAGGACAGGCTTATTTTTGTAATGAAGATGTATGGGGTCATCAGCTGGTGCAGAGCAGCAAAACTGAACAAATCGACTAAGACAAACCAGTTGGTACTAGCTGAGGAACTGACCCTCTATGAATGGACACCACACGGTTCTGTGAGCCCAGAATCTAAGATTAAAACTTTATGTGAATTGGAAATATTTGTTTCAAGTATATTCCAATCCACTGTCAATGGAATAAAAATTTGCAGGAGGGTTTAAATTGCAATAATGTGACCCTTCTTTCCTTTTCTTGTTGTGGAGTGATGCCGTCCACTGACATTTTTGCACATTAGGGGATTAACTCAGATAATCAGAAGGATATGGCCAAATATACGAAATGCAATGTTAGTCTTTTCTCAGCTACACTGTCTATGAATGATAGCGCATAGCTACTTAACGTATAAACATTTTTGGCACAGTTCTGGCCGTACGTACTTAAAACTCACTGCCAACAATTGAAATAGGTATGGGGCTAGTATATTTAACCATTTCCTGGTTTATTTTTTTTTCCCTACGAAGGAAGAAGGCCCTAAATCAAATCTGAAATGGAATTACCTGCATCACCTTTGTAGCAGAGCGTTTCACTGGGACCTTTACAACATTCATCTGAGATAGGGTAGATTGAGTCATTTACCAGATTGCATAGGTAATCTGTAACTGAGCTAGGATTTAAACTTTGATCCCCACAGTGCCAGACCACTGCCATTTACATTAAGTTAATGATCTGCCAATTATCTATATTAGGCAAGGTGTTCTTTGTAGTAGAGATCATCGCTTGTATTCGTGAGTATCACAAAGAAAAGATGGCTAGATAAATTTCAAAAAGAGAACAAGAAATATGAAAAACAAAGAAAGATGAACAGGAATATATTCTATATGTGTTCATTCCCTCATTTTTGAGGGAAAAAAAGCTGTACTTTTAAGTGATCATTTATAAGAGGAGTGAATACTGTTCTGAGCAAAATACAATATATGCTGTCTGAGGGAAAAAAAAATCTAATCTGAATATATTCTTTCCTGTTAAATACATTGTAAAAATATTACCATCTTGGAAATGCAATGAAAAATAAATGAGGCATGAACTTACTTTCACCAGGAGATGGTGCTGTTTAATTTAATATAAAAATAATTCTGAATTTAGTATGTACGATGCTGTCATTTTCAAGGTTTGAATTAGACCAAATCCTGCATGCTGTGTTCATGTAAGAAATTCTAAGGTATAAAGAATGACTTCAGGTAAGGGCTGCAGTACTTCCTACTTTCTCATGGTTCAGATTGCAACTTGCAGCCCGAAGGTAGTCCATGGAATATTTTCGCCTGCCTCATCTCCTTGGTAGATGTGGTAGACAAGGAAACACGAGCTTGTAAAAATCGCATCGTCTATTGTCCAAGCTTTTGCTTTCGTGACGACAAGGCAGAGTAGCGCGTGCATTGCTCTGTGGTCTGTGAAACTGTCACCAAAGCTGTCTGAGAGGCGAAAGAGGAAGCTGTAATTTGCATCTGATAGCTGCAGCTCTTGCAGGTGAACTGTGCTTAATGTTGCTCTTCTCCTGAGGTTACCTTGTTTTGAAAATTACTTCAGGTCATTATATTTTTACATAAACAAGGATATATTTATAAAGCAAACATCATTTATTAGTTTTATGAACAATATAGAATATTTATTTTGATTTTTCATGATGGTTTCCTTCTTCCTCTAGCAATACATTTTGTAAGGCAGAAGCCAGTCTTTAGCAGTATTAAATTGATCTTAATTATCAATCACTGTATTTAGTTTAATGTTGGACTCAGTTTTGAATAAATGAGGGGTAAACCCACAATGGAATGGAGCTGCATCATTTTGAAATGTTTAATTGGCAGAATTGACAAAACTTGCAGGCCCTTAATACCTGGTTTACTTAACTGTGCAGAGACTAACCTTTGGACTGTTTCCCTCTTATGTCTTAGAGGTACATTTTTCACATTACCCAAGTATGTAAAGGCCTTTCTTCCTCTGAGTCTTTCACATAAATTGAATGTATACATATTAAAACATGTCTATAACAAGTAGACCAAGGCAGTATTTTGTAACGGGTAAATAACTGAGTTTATACAATTTTTTACATCAAAGACAACTGCTAACATACTACACCTGATAAGCTAACTCTGTAATTTGTTGTCATTTTGAGCTGTGCAACCATCTTATCCCCCTACATATAGGATGTCGGGGTTGGACAAAATATGAGAATGCCGAAAGTTCAACTGACAAGACAAGATTTTGATCAGCACCCAACCCCAAGTCAGTTAGAAGATTACAGGTATGCTGCTGTTCTGTCTTTTTTGCTCGTTTGTACTTTATACTTGGTCTTTGGTTTGGAGACTGGAGTTACTGTGCAGTTCTGCCCGTCTCATGACAACAATGGCTAAGCTTTTGACTATATTACTCACATAGGTTATTTTACAGTTCGAGTCCCTGACAGAGATTCTTTTTCTGAATTTTTTTTTTTTATTTACCTTTCATTCAATTCAAATAGTATTGCTGTAAGAATAAGGACTGCTATAAGGACTATTTTGTGCATCAGTACTAAATGTGAACTAGTACACAGAACTAGATTTATCAGTTTGCTGCATAAGACTTCATGTTACCTAGGTTTTATGTAATATTTCTGAAGTATGCTGACTTGAATTCTGTTTTCCCAATGTATCATTAAAAATAAAAAGTTATAGTGTATTTCTCCTGTTTCTGAAGCTAAATCCTAAAACACTGATTTATTCATAGGCGTGTAAATGAACATGTATGGTTTTCCTCTAAAAATTACAAATATGTTCATTATGAACATTTTGTAGGAAATGGTAGGCAAAAGAGGAATCAGAGTTTCATTAGTTGTGCTTTTTCACTTTAATTCCCCTCGCTAACACCTACCAACTGTTGCAGTTCCTACCTGCAACTTTTGCAGAGAATACATTTAATGTGAAGGAACTAAATGATAGCAAGAACATTTTTCCTCATAAGTGGCAAGCTTCCAAATTTCTCTACAGAGAAAGGCTAGAGCTTTCTGATACTTTGGTCTATTGAGAAGGTTTTATTTTTTTTAATATACAAACATTGAAAATGTTAAAGCTATATCAAGAATGTAGTATGCTGTCAAAATAAGCATAGAACTGCACAGTTCTAATAGAGTTTAAATAAATAAAGGCGATGAATAGAAACATCCTAAAATCATACAACCCAGATTTGAAATATATGATTTTTTTGTGGCAAGAAACCATTCAAAGATGGTTTATGTGATTAACTACAGTGCCACTTAGAGTTTCCGTTTATATCAGAAACTTTGTATTTCTGTTTACCTGTAGGAGAGAGTGAGTGTAGCTTTGATATTCTGAGAGAATGTATCCTATACATGTTTTATAATATTGCCAACATGTTAATTCAAATTACTCACAGAAGGCATTAATTTTTAGAAGATTTTGTCATGAGGAATGTAAGACTTTAGAAGCTGAAAGGCACAAATGAATAGCAGAGTCTACGAAGTAAGATACAGTTTAGCAATTTTAGCTGTATTTAGCAATTTTAGCTGTATTTAGCAATTTAGTAATTTTAGCCCAATGGGTAGAAAACAAGGAAGAGTTATTAGCCTTTTGTCCTAGTATTCCTGCGTTTGATGTAATGGATATTCTGCTATTAAAAATATTTAACAAGAATCATCTTTGTAGGATTCTCTTTACTGTTGTGTTAACTTTGCAAAAGGACCAAAATTTGAAAATTGTATATTGTGGCACTGTTCGGTGACATAAAACCAAACTGGGATTAGTGCCGTGTCAGAACAGGATGCAGTAAAAACATGGAGGTAGATACAATCCGTATTGTAAAAATCACGCTAAAAGAGAATATCTTGCATCTCTAAATTCACTTTTATCTGTGTTTGCAGGATGAGGGTCTAAGGGTAAAATGAACTTATACAAGACAGGACATTTAGATGTCTTAGTGTGATTTCTTCAGTGTCATGCATGCAGTAACTCTGTGGGTGTTACTGTTTTTATATTTCATTTTAAACAAATGCTGAATCTAATTTGTCATATGTTATTGCACACATATTTTAAATGCTCTTTTTTTTTTTTTTTTTTTTTTTTTACTTTTGCATAGGCCCATGCCATTGCAACCTCATCAATATGATAGATTTGTCTATCCAAACAATAATTTGCCTTATGCAGATTATGCAGAGGAGAGACAATATCCGGTATGTATAAATAATATCTGTATGAGTATATATTATATAATCTTGTGTCTTTATACTGAGAACAAGTTATCATCATTCAGATTGGTTAGTATTTAGGTCACTAAATAAAGATGTGACCTAATAAAAGGCCTACAAATACCTTTTACTATACAGGTATTTTCCTCAACGATATTATAGATCTATTCATTCTATGCTAGACTGAATACATTTGGCAAAGATGTAATCATTTTCTGAGTCATTTATACCTAGATGTAGCTACTCATAAAAACAGGTGTTTCACGGAACTGGGGGATGGTTGCCCAAGACAGCCCTGCAGTGAGAACAGACACTGCAGTCAATATAGAAATATCCCTGCAGCTATGGCCGAGGAATTATTGCCGTTCTCTGTTCTAACTCACTGTACAGTGAAGGGAATTTGGCTGACCTGAAGACTAAACGCGTAAAAGCTCTGTGCCAATTTCTCCAATGCTATGCCTTTTTCGTGCCAGCGTATGTTTTGCAAATTTGTTAGAATAATGCAATAAATCAAGCCATTAGTTTCCAGACGTGTTGAGAACTTCTGTAATGGTAATATAAAAGACTCTTTTGCAACAACTGTCCTGTTACGTTTACTAACAATGTAAACGTGTTTAAAATGACAGCAGCTTCCCGAGTTCTGTGTTGATTAATGATATAACTAAATATCCACTGATATGTCAAAAATATGAGAGTTAATAGTACTGTTAGTACTTTGCACTTTTCCTTCGAGACGTTGGGCTTCCCCTCCCTCACAAACTCAATAGTTCAAATAATTAAAGCTTTGTGGAAAGTTATTATCATGTGTTTCATGCACAAATAGTATGATGTATGGATAAATTAAATTATTTATTCCATAACTTATGAAATCGTCTATACAACTAAGTGTTCTTCGTAGTGACTTCTCTTTTTTTTTCCCCCTAGTAATTGAAAGATTGGTAGACAAGGATTTATTTACTCCACGTTATTTCTATGCCTAAAAATCAGCCTCATCAAAATTGCTAAACGCATTAGCAACCTCTTTCTGGATCACAGTGTGATATTTCAGTAGTTTGTGATTACAATTAGCTTATGTAAATGAGCCTTTTAGGTTATTTCTATATGGAAGTTACCAATATTTGGTGTAAATTATGAGTAAAAAATAGTCATTTCTCTTCATAATGGAGTTTATAAAAAGACAAGATGGGTGAAAGAAAAGTTTACTGTAGAAAGAAAAATGTTAACATTTTACAGAAAGAATACTCAGCAGTTCAGAAAGACTCATGTTTAAACTGCAGAAGAGTGTTAAAAAAGATGGGCCGTTGGAGTAGGAGAAAATTAATTAAATAAAATTGAGCTGAGATGTCCTTTGACTGACCTTAAGCTAAAAATATTACCTGTGTATTTTACTATACAAGTAAATTTATTGCCAGGTATACATTATAACAGAGCCTGCAACCTAATTTACCTATCTTGGATATCTAAGGTATTTTTTTTTTTCTATAAATGTCATTTGATAGCTACAAAAATAATTCCATTAGCACAAAAATTTTGTAAGCGTTCCAAAATGTGAGTGTGTGTGTGTGTCTTTTAGAATCACGGTTTCCTAGTTGCTTGCTATTAACTCAATGGAAAAATGATGAAGGAAAGAAAGTATGAGATTCTCCTTCTAGAGTAGTGGTTTTCCGTGTGGAGTCTGTAGACTCGTGGTCAGTGAATTACTTACAAAGGATCAGCAGAAGGTCAAAAGAAATGTAAGGCATGTTTTATCCTCCACATTAGCCCTATGATTCTTTCTGCTCTCCTGAAATGCCACAAAAGCCTCCTTCAGTTCTTGAAATTTACGTTAATAGCAACAAAACGTTCGGAAGCTCCTGCTATGGCTGCTTTCTAAAAGGCCCTGCTGAAACATTTTTAAATGTTTCAAAGCATGTTTCATTTTTTGCATACAAAGTCTAATATGGTCAGTTATTGGCATGAAAATAATATTCCTAAGATATTGCTGAGTACCCATTCATTAGCACAAAAATTCAGAAACTAATAGTCAAAAGAAATATATAAACATAGTTTGATTAGATGGATCGTTTTAATAGCAAGCATATGAAAAAGTGTATGTCAAATGCTAACAATTTCATTCTAATCTCTTTGCAGAAATATGGTGTAGCAGTGTTTCCTAGATCTGAAATGTCTCACAATGCTGCAGGACCAAGGGATAATCCAAATGATGGGAGATCAGTAAGACCTTATGGGCTAGGACACTCAGGAAATAGATACAACTACTAGAAATCCTTAGAAATTCTTGCAAAGAAAAGGTATAGAAGATAAATATAAAACAAAACATGGTGTTTATGAAAATACCATCTGATTTATTTACTGTGTAATTGATGATAATTTAACTTTTTTTGAATGCTGGATTTTACATTTAGTTCATATCGCTGCTTCTAAGCAGTGCTTAAATTCTTGCCCGTCTCTCAGGAGCCCTGGATTCTTTTGTGATTAGCAGTGTTGTCCTCTGCCTGAATGACGAGAAGTACCTATCACAAAAAGCTTTTTCTCAGGAAAACTCACGAGAAGGGAAAAAAGCCTTCTCAAAACTCAGTACGAGAAATGACAAACGTGCATGCTAATCATCCTTCTTCCCTGTGTTGCTTCCCAACAAAGGGAAGGTTTAAATCATCATGAAATAGAAAGGGGGGAGGGGAGGCATTTCTTCTTGTTTCACAAGAAGTCTTCTTCAAAGATAGCTTCTGCCAGATAGTTTTTGCTTCTCAGTGTCTGTTTGGCCCATACTTTTATTTGTAACGTTTGCTGCGCTCTGTGTTATGATCTCTGTCTGCATTTTTCTGGTTACTCATCTAATGCCTTTACTAGGACCATGAATTCCTCTGTTGAAAATTACAAAGGTTCTTCAGGACAGCATAGCATGCAGTCTGCTGTTTCCTGACTCTGACTTTTATTTGTTTTTTCCCTTAAAGAACCAATATTTAAGGAATGAAAACCACAAATTAGATACAATTTTGAACGTGCTTAGTAAAATCTGTATTCTTGTACATGGATGACGTACAGCATTAGGTAGAGGGGAAGGCTCTGTTCTCAGGCATTGCCACTCAGTCTCACTGACTCCGGTAGCATTGTACAAATGTAACCAAGGCACTCGGCTTTCCCGTGTTCCAAGATACAATCAAATAGTAAAGTACTGACTGTAGCAACCTGAGCCTGTGAACGCATTCCTTTGTCCTGTGTTTCTTTTTCACTTTGTTTCTTCCTTAAATAGTTTTTTCTTTGATCCTAACAGTTCAAATGTTTTGCCTTTTGAAATACAGTGGCTTTCATTGTAACCTGTTTTATCAATAATGGAAATAAAATGTGGGAAATCAGCTAGCTTACAATTAAGTAATAAATAAATAAGATACTAAAGAGCTAGATCTCTTTCCCATTTTTCCAGAAAGTGTCAAGCATATTATTTTAACAACAATAATAAATTATTCTCTTCCTTAGCTTTAGCTAAGACGTAAAACTATAAAACAAATGAAAACAAAATGTTCAGGTTTCTAGAAAGGTGAAAATACTGGTGATTTTTTTACACACTGGTGTGTGTAAATCACAGCACTCTCCTTTCCACAGCTCTATACCTTATCTGCATCCTGGCACTCTCCATGTTCTCCACAATATTGAGTTATTGCCCAGAGTGCATTGGCTTTGCTATGCAAGAACTGTAGCTGAGAAGCCAGAAAAGTATTTAGATTCCCCTCATTTTCTTTCCTGTTGCTTGCAAGAGTTAGTCGAATAGGTACAGCTTCCTGCTGGGGAAAAAGGAAGGGTGCGTGGCTATGAAGTTGGTAGCTTTTCTTGGCTCTGTAAGTTATGTGCCATCCTAGCTAGTATTCTCTAAATCTCCAGCCACGGTTGTTTTCTCTGGTGTCTCCCACAGTGAAACAACTATCCAAAGTGGGTCAGCTACACCTTGCTGATTCTTTACCTGGAAGAGATCAGTGGGCGTTTAAATCTGGACCTAACACATATTGAGGGCAGATTTGCCAACTGTTAAATTAAATTATCTAATGGTAACAGAGGAATTTTTCAGGGATAGCTGAAATCTCAGGCACCAAAATTCTTTAAAAAGAATCCAAGGTTTTCTGAATGTGGACTGCTTGTGAACCTGTGTTAAGATGCTTTCTGGGACTGGAACCACCCTGGAGCAATGCCTTTACATATCAGTGTTAACCATTTTGTTGCTAATTAAAGCACAACAAAGACAAAATGTTCATAATAATAGTATCTGCATAGCCAGCTTGAAGAAGCATCCCATTCTGGCATCGTAAAAAGAGGAAGCGTGGAAGAGTACTGTTGCTTTTACATGTCTCACCGACTGTCCTTTCTATGGATATGTTTAGTGAAAACAACCTACTATTACTCTTCAATTTCTGTTAGAAATAAGAGAAGTGAAAATGGTTCTTTCTATATTATCTTCAGAAACATACAGAAATGGTGGTGTTACTTCATCTGTTTAGATTCTAGGCTATCAGTTTAAACTATTAGTACCCGAGAAAGTTGGATCCCAATGTATGAATCTTGTCTCTGAATCGCGTCTTTTTCTCTCACTTCTTAGTTTCCAGGAGTGCCATGATTTAACAAACTGTGGTTGTTGTTGGCCTCTAGTTCTGTCCACCAACCTGTAAGTGATTGTGATCAGTTTGATATTCCACTGCTGCTTTGAAAAGGAGATGAATAACAGGAGAAGGACATAAGTCAGTCCTGTCAAATATACATGGTACTGGCAAGAAGAGAGCTATCTGGAAAGTATGCACGCATGCTGCTTAAATTAAAGTGAATAAGATTTCACACAGAATGAAGCTTTCCTCATCAGGCTTTTGCAGTCTCCTGTTTAGTCTCAGGCAGCTCAAGAGTTGCAGGACATCAGCTACACGGATAGGCACTGCTCCAGACACATTTAACCACTCACTATCAGATGATGAATATTGACATCACACAGTGTATGAGAAAGAGAACTGTGAAGAAGCTGCTTGAAAAACTCGGATGTCACTTTTAACCACCACAACAACAATAATACTTCTTTGAAGATGCTATCTGCCAGGCATCGTGCTTTGGTTGTTTGCTTTTCATCTGGAGACCAGAGGAACTCTGTAATTCTTTGAAACGTTTGTGTTGTGTTCCTCTGAGTTGACGAGGAACGCTGGTCTTCTGCTAGTTGCTGTGGTAACGAAGGGCTACTTCCCCATCAAGTAGAAGTGTTCCTAAAGTCCGTAAATTCTTGGCAGGGGGTTTTGGCCTTGTTCTAATACCTGAGTACTTACATTTGTCTGAAGTGATAGATCACATAGCATGTGTTCCTACTGTTGATGACAAAATGTCATTTTCTGGAGAACATACTTCTTTATTATTCATCATTAGATTCCCTTGGGAAAAAAGGGTAGTATGCTGTATCAGTTTCCAGCTATGACAGTACCATCTTATGAGGACTTCACTTCAAGCATTCTGGCATATATTCAGGGGTGTTTTAACTTTTGTGTATGCTGGGTGATTCAGCACTTGGTGATTTTTGATATTTGAATTCCTGTGATCTTAGTGTGTGTCTTTGTTATTTTTTTCTCCTTTCTGTGCTTCTGATCAATGTTTGGGATTGATTTTCCTTGTAATTGCTGCCTCACTCTGCAAATTTGCTTGTTGTGTCTGATGTTGAATGTTGTGTCACGCTGTTGGCAATAGCCTTGTTGTTGCTTGTTGCTGTTTTATGCTCATTTTGTTTTTGAGATTTCCCTTGATATTACTCCAGAAGACAGCATCCAGCACAGATGGGCTTTTGTTGAAGAAAGGGATCGTTAATCTCACTGTAGTTCTGCTTTTCTGAATGCATCACCTTGCAAGATTCTTGCTCACTTCCCCAAGTATTCAGTTTTGTAAAACACCTTTTCAGGTGTTTCATGACCTTTCCTGTCATGCCTTATTTGCATTGATCGGTTTGAAATTATGTTCTCATTAGAACGTCTACCTTCTACCTGAGCTGCAAGAACTGACTAGAACTTTGTTAATACTATATTTACCTTGGTGAATACGTTCACATGTGATATGCTATGGTCAGTAGCTTTACCCCACTATGCTATTGCCTACAACTTAAAAGGGGGAGGGGGGGGGGGTTATGCTAATGAAGTAAAAGTCCAAAAGTAAGAATCCAGTAAGAATTTCCAAAGGAAAAAACCTCCTAACTCTCTGTACTTAAACCATGAATTATAGTTGTGTAGTGCAAAATGAGATTTACTTACAGGTTTTACAGGTGCTTTGTGCCATTTTTGACATTCTGTGCCGTTCCATCTGACTCCCTGTTGCCATTCCAGAAGAGAGCAAGTCTCCTGTTAGGTCCTTTAACATGTCTGCCATCTCTGTATTGGACATTTTAGGGCTTCTGCAATGGCATTAGACATTTAGACAAATTAATCCCACTGTCCATGAACAAAATTTGCTTGAAGTGTAACTTTAAAGGCAAAATTGTACAAAACAAAGATCCATAGAAGTATTTCTGTGAGCTACCTCTATGTCAACCAGATAAAGAGAACAATTGCTTATGTTTAGCCGACTGTTGGAAATTCAGGCATTACAATACTAAGATCTAATCAACAGTTTGTGCACTGATCTAAGTCATTTTCTAAACTGAAGACGCGTGTATACTACAATTCTCTTAGCTTAAAGGAGGTTTAGAAAAAAAACAGTTACAATCTATTTAGTTAAATCAGAGAACAGACCGTATGGGCTTCTATTCAAGTCATAGGGTTTTGCAAGTTTATGCTTTTCAGCAGGTACTTTCCAAATTGTGTTGTCTTACGGATGCGCAGCAACACACATACACAGAATAGAATTCTAAGAGGCCACTTGTTGTTACAATGCTTCTCTACAAATAGGGGAAAGTAAGCAGAAGTGGAGGAGTCATAGTGAAATTTTTAGCAAAAGAAATATCCCTGTCAAAATATCCCAATATCAGAAGAATGTACAAGGAATATATTCTAATTATTAATAATTGTAGCACTTGGTTAAGCGTTTGGTACGTGCTTACGTGCTTAGTTTCGAAGTTCCTTTAGTCTGCAAAGCAGTGACTGTGAGACTTGTTACATTGTGCACTTAGTATTTTTATTTCATAATGCTTATTATTGACCAAAACATCCTATTTCTGTTGTAGGAATAAGCAACTACTGTTCCTTTCTTTCTTTCAAAAAGTACAGTGTTTGATACTTTATTTCACTTGGGTCTCTCTTACTGTGATACCTGATACTTTAGATTATTTATTTCTACACTCTTCTCTGAAGTAGGGAGGTACCGTTTTTGCCAATAGTATTCTCCAGTGAGAAAATGAGGCGCAGTAGCTAATGGTCTTATTCTCACTACTTGAGAGCATGTAAAATGTAAGCGATGAAGTGAAATCCAGAAGACATGTCTGCACCTCACACCTTATTAAGTGCATCGGTATTTCTGGGGTAAGTACACGCGTGCAGGTTATGCAAAAGCACTTCCGAGGAGCAAAACTGAAAAAGGCGTTGTTTGCCCCCAGTTAGGGGTTCTGCCCTACGCCCGCCCGTTTGCTGGCGTGGGGGCTTGAGTGCGGAACC